CGTTGCGAACGGTCCTTGCACAGATTCGGGAATAGATTTTTGGAAAAAAATTAGCAACGAATCTTTCGGGGACAGATGGAACGGTCCAAGATTTAGATCGCGCTCGAATCGACGTCAACGCGCCAAGAAAGGGAATACGAACTTTCAATTACCATAGAAGGCATATTTAAATACGTGGAAAAGCTCGGTCGCGAGATTCTTATCGGTCGTAACGGTCACCGATCGAGAAAAAATGCGTCCACTCGAAAGAAAGAGACGCGACCGAAATTTTCCGGACCAAAGTTTGTGCTTCTTTGTGGTGAAACCGTGACCAACGGTTGCTGCTCGTCAACCGCAGATCAAGATATCGATTTAATCTGTAGCATCGTGTCCTATGTAAAACGGCCCCATCGTACAATGGACAGATTTCAAGGTAGATTGGTTTGCATAAATTGGACCAATACGAGTACCGACGTTACCGTTGCAGTTTCCGTTTCTTGTGAAAAAGGGCGCGCAAAAAACCAAATCGTGCGTTTGTAGCTCTACGCTCGAGTAACGAACACGATCTAAATAAAAAAGGAACGTAATGTACCGCTGCTGTCTATGTATCTTCGTTTTTTAATTTCTACACTTGCCTGTAGACCGTGTACACGTACGGCTAGAAAAAGTGTTGCAATAAATAAGAGGCTCCATGTATTTTCGTTCCACGTCGGAGACAAACTGTACGTTACTTTCTCATAGCGCAACGGATTATCGAGATTACAGAGGACCAGCTTGTTTACGCCGCTGTTTCCGCGACGAAAGGGGCAGATATTTTTGGAAAACAGTCCAACAGCCCATCGAGAGAACTTCCATAGGACGCGTTAAACGAAACGTCAGAACTTTGATGTACAGGAGTTAAAATAATGGTCCTTCGAAGGAATTGCCGACCGTTAAAAACGATTCTTTCGAGCCACTGTTCGAACTCAATTTTGCAAATCTCATTATAAGTTTAAAACCATCCGGCCGTTGTTCGTCGTTTCTGGAATCGTATTTTTTGGCGGGAGGTAGAACATATAAAACAGTGCAATATAATCGGGGTACAATGCGAAATTATCAGAAATCCAATTTCGTTGTGCGTGTGCTGGTAGAGAAGTGTCTTTTCCCAACGAAGAGTCGCTCGGTAACGACCCGTGCCCCTCAATATTTTCATACCTGATAATTTCTGCAATAAAATTATAAAAGTGCAAACAGCCCCCAATAAGTCTGTTTGGTCTGCACCGCCTGGACGCAAGGCTGCGACGACGAAAGGTTCCGGGGCCTTTAGGGTCCTCCTTTTGTGAGAAACTGGAGCACTCCCAATGTTAATTGCCAGCACCACTATCGTTGCACATTCGTCTCTACCTCTCCGCGTTTTCATTCGTCGTTTGCTAGTATACAACCGTAATAGAGAACACCGAGAGGAGAGGGAGGAACGTTTTGCCGGGTTAGAGACTGACGGCCCAAATAACGCGGGCCCTACGACGCTTAACCGATTGATTGTATATTGCGGGGTTCGACAACCCTACGGATCGTTTTACTGCCTGCGAAATATTGTCCAGTCGTTAGACTATTTTCGAGCAAATTTTTAAGGTCAACCCCCAGAATTTTCGACCGTTTCTCATTCGATCGGGACTCGTTGTAGTTGTAAACAGAAATATGAAAAAGTTTACTACTTTGTTTAAAGATATTAAAAGAGTGTGCCGATATCGAACGAACGAGAAATGTTTTTGATCTTTTGTGTTCTTTGTGCGCGGTACAGGTGAAAGGGTCACGCATCTATATTAACGAGTTCACCGTGACAAATGGCCGACGCTTAACTCCGTATCGCTCGACGGAGCAACGTGAATGTAGCAGGTATTCGAAAGGGCGTTCGAAAGGGTTAGAAGCCTCGTCTGCGTGCACAATGGCTACGAACCAGGTAGAAACTCACGCTTTCACATCGGACGCCCAAGGGTTAAGTATCGTAATAATTGCTAATAATCTGGTCACATTGTAAACAGTTTTTCTTCGCGTCCGTGAGCGAAAGGTACACCCGAGCGTCTAAAATAGTTCCTAATACGCTGTTTGCCCTTCTTGTTTCGAAGATTACCAACGATTGCACCACCGTGATATGGAAATCCCGCGAGTATCCCGCAACCCTTTGCAACACGAGGGAAGGATTACGATTTCAGGAAGAAAAAAAGGCAAGCACTCGATAAAAAAATTGCTCGACGACGTCGCAGAAAACCACCAGCGGCGGATTTACACTTGCATAACGCGCACAATACAACGCTCTCAAACTTATATCGGACGGATCCCTCTTTACAGCGGTCCCGTATTTTCCTCGCGATTTATATAAAAGCCGACCCTATACCTGCGCGCTTTTTCACAATATTTTGTCAGGCTTGTATACGAAAGTACTTACTGCCCCGTACTCAATCTCTTCGTACGTCCCGCCCCTTGGTCTCTCTGATAGAACACTTTTAAAATTTCGCCCCATTAAAGTCTCGTTTTAGCGACGTTGAATTCGTTCCACGGAACCGATTACTCCACCTTGTAAAAAAATTTCAATCTAACAATGGATCACCGAGCTAATCTGAGAAACAACTTTTGCAAATTATGGTTTCCTTTTAGGCTATGATCTATTAATCGCGAGTATTCCAATATTCTCGATAACCTTCGTCATACGTAACCAACAATTCGAAACGGAACGAACTCGAGGATTCAAAGAAATATCCACTTATGGAAAAAAGGGCAGAAAAAAGAAGAGCACACAAGGGAAAACTCCCGTTGTAGATCAACGAGTCTACTAATTCACCGGACCACGCATCGAGATTTCGCTTTTCGATTACCCGTCGTCAGTACACTATTATGCTCCCTTTTCTCATCCCTCCGGTATCTCTGATCTCATGGTCTCTATCCGGAGGACAACAAGCTGACAGAATGGAGTACGTGTTCTCGCGAGCGCACTGGGATATGTGTGCGCGTGTGTGGACGCGTGTGCGAACCTATACGGTGTCTCGCTCGAGCACATACCGCAGAGGTTACACGCGCCTAAACCAGGGACATTCTTTCGGTTTTTTATCGGGCACGGGTACCGTGAGTCTTTGGCCACGGGCACGCGCTGCGCACGCTGCGCACGCTGCGCACGCTGCGCACGCTGCGCACGCCCGAGCAACGGGCAGGTGAGAGCAACAGAGACCGCGCGCACGGGGTGCGTGCACCACTGTGTCCCGTACTTTTCACCCCCGAGAAATAAGAAAAAAACCGACCCCAGAGTGTTGCGGGGCGAGCAGAACGAGAGGGCTGCCGCGTTTCGACGGAATTCGTTTTTCGAAAAACAGTGGGAGCCCTGTGCTTTCGGGGACCATTGTGCAGCGCGCGCGTTATCGTAGTCGGAAGTCGCGGCCGGCTCGTGAAAATTCCTCGTTGACGCACGAGCGCGATACCGCTGCGCCACACCACGCCGCGCCGGTGCATCGTGCGTAAATTGCATTGTTCGGAATTCGCTTGATACCCACCGTCCCAATCCCCCTTGTCCCCGTGCCGAAAGAGACGCGAGTTTTGTGCGCTCGTTCGCGGAACCGGAACGCGCAACGACGTCCAGGAACCGTGAATCGACAAAACCAAACGCTGGCCCGATTTTTTCTGGGACAGAGCGACAACTCTGTTTTCCTTTTTTCTGTTTTTCTTTCTACTATTTTTTCAAGGACACGAGAATTTTTTCAGTGCAAGATCGATGCAATCGCGTCGTATGATCTCTACAGGCCGAATCACGTAACTTGTCCCCACCCCTGTCACTTTCGTTGCCGGTGGATCGACGGAGACATTTACGAGGGTCATTCGATATGTACCATAAAGAGATAAATAACTGCTTTTGAAATATTGTTTATTTAATAAGCGTTACAAATTTCCTACTTTTCTTCTACTGGCTTTATTATGCAGGTGCATATTTAATTGGATACACGCGACGGTCAACGTGTCTTTATACAATTTGTCTTGCACTGGAACAAACGCAACGAATTAACCGCATAAATGGGAGAACTTTCTGTACTTCTTCTTCGTGATTTTCTTTGATAGCATAACCGTGCGCATCTTGACAAATGCAAAATCAACGGATACACCGACCGTTGCATATTTAACGACGCGCTGTATATTCCATCGATGGTAGGTTTCAAAGGACAGAACAGTTTGCGTTGACAATGTACTTCGCAACGTAATCCCTATCGACCAGCCGTGAAATATTAAAAGTTGAAAGTTCTGCGAAGCGTGCACGTGTATCAGCGTTGCGATGAAAACGGAATGGCGCAAAATCAGTGAATCGCGACTCTATGGAAAGAAACTGTTGCACATTGGATAAGGCATGTACGCAGGCTCTCTTGGAGATCACAAGAAACGTAAATCACTCATAGTGTATTTAAATGCCTGTACGTTTGTCTAGTAGCCAAATCATGAACTGATTATAAAACATACTTTCGTAACTACTTTTTTGCGTAAACATAACTGCTGTAAACGCGAGGGGAGGCTGCAGGCTCGATCACGGAGTGGATCAACCAGACCATCTGTCACGAATCCCTCGAATTTACAGAAACAAGGTTATTTCAAAATTTATATGCTTTTACGATCGATCGACAATTTTACCAATTTACGCACAAAGTACCTACTTGTAAAAAGTATAAATGTTAATATTTATAATTCTATATTAATAGTCTAGCGAGTACTTTGAGATTACCGAGACGATCGATACGTCTAAGGTAAAATCTGCTGGACGAGTCTTGCCAAAGGGAAAGTTTAAATAAAACCAAGACCGTGCACGCGAGTATAAATAAGACTGAGAACGATGCATCCGTGGACGTAAAGTTTCCTTCGAGGCTGGTCGTTCTCTTGTTACCAGTTTGTTAAAAAAGAAAAGCAAACAGGAACACCGGAATACGCATTAAGCGAATGACAGTCGCAGAAAGGATCGCGTCTGTAACAATCTCCTTTTGCACCCTCGCCCTTTTAATCGTTCTTGTTTCTGGTGATCTCAAAGGGTGAGCGATGCACGGCTCGGTTTATAGTTGCGGAATACCGTCGTCAACTTCCCTTCCACCCTCCCGTTGCCCGCTATCTTTCCTCTCGCAGGTTTCACCGATTACCACCCGCCTTCTGTGGCCGTCCTCGTCCATCGAGGTATATACGAGAGAAGAAGCATAGTCTTCGTTACACTCTCAAACTCCCCCACCCTTAAAGATCACGGTCGCAGGTTCACCCTGTCTCGTTGTCCTCCGTTCGTACTCGCTCCTCGTTGGCTCGTCGTCCTTTTCTCGCCGCCTTGTTCCTCGTGTTTTCCCTCTTGCTCGATCGCGAACGTCTTCCCTTCGGCTGTCTTCGTCCAGCGCGCAAAGCCGCTCGCTTCAACAACCCCCGACGTGGCGCGTTTTTGCGACTCGCGCATCCGGGGTTGCGATTCGAGAGGGTAGAGAAGCGCCGCGTTGGTGGGGATACGTGCCGCGCGGTGGGGATCGCGAACGCCAGGGTGGGGGATGTTTGACTACAGTGAGCGCGACTCGATTGTCAGTTAGTATTGGGTTAGGTCAGCCCAGAGCAACGTCGTCGATCGTCGTCGTTACTCGTGGTCGGACGGCGACGTTTGTTGTTTATAGTAGAGTAGTAACACGTTTTGCGTACTTTGTTTCCTTCTTTCGTTTTATTTAATACTTTTTTCGGTTGCTTCGCTCGGAACTCGTGCCACGGAGACGCGAATCGACGCACATTCGTATAAAAATCAAACCAGAGAGGTTTCGGTGATTCCCGCGTGGTTGGTTCTCTCTCTCTCTCTCTCTCTCTCTCTCTCTCTCTCTCTCTCTCTCTCACACACTCCCTCTCTACGGATCGACTTATCGGAGAGAAAGTTCGAAAAGAGAGAAACGGATAGATAGGCACGCAGGCTTTCCGGTTCGATTCGACCACGCTGTTTTGTGCAGTGCCGCGTCAATAAGAGCGTTACCCGCGTAACGTCTTCGTTTACGTTCTCGTCTATACGGAAGTGTTCGCATTGTGCACCGAAGTGGATGGAGTGTCAAAGTGAAAACTCGCAGTACGGATCGTAGAATGGCACTGTCTTATCTCCAAGAGGCGCAGATTAACGCAGGTAAATGTCGATAGGTTTGGTAGCGCGAAAGCTCGATCGTATCACGAGTCGCAATTGCGTCGCGGAGGTACTTACTTACTTACTTACTTACGCGGTGACTTCACTTTCCGCGATGGTCAGTCTGATCTAGTTTCGATGGAATTCACCCGGCCGGTTGTTCCCCGAGGACAACAGAAATTACTTGCAACCGTCGCTTATCGTATCGCGTTTGTTTTCACCCGACCAAGGTGATTTACTGTTTATTTTATTCCTTGTATTCGTATCCAGCGACACGATCGGTCGCTCGCGTTATTTATCAAAGACAGAGTAAAGCAGAGACGAGGTTTTCGTGTTTTCGGGCAGGAGACACGTACATAGGAAGGTTGGCGCCGCGCCAAAGTCTAAAAGCGCCCGCGGCGACACGCTCGCGTGTTGTGACACATTGTAAACATCGATAAGCCAGGAAGATGTGAAATTGGTTGACGGGTGGCGCGTTAGCCGGGGAAAATGAGGCTCGACGACGAGTTTCGCGATTGCAACGACCGTCTAAAAATAACCACGTCGTGAGATCGCTCTGGGAAACGCTTAGGAATCGCGAACCGTGCACTCTGACGTCGCCTGCGTCTCCGCGAACCTCTTTTCGCTAGGTTATAAACAATGCGTGGTCATGTTCGGTAGTCATTCGCGCGCTTTTGACTCATGCTCGTAAATACTTACTTGGACTCGAGTCACGTTCGTTTTCGTTGAATCGTTGAATACCTTTCGAAGTCTCGAACATAAAAATAATTTTTTAGCCGTAGTATGTTCTCGAGCAGGGCTGGGGGGAACTTTTTGGCATTGGAACGCCGCGTGTCGCGTTACGAATTCCTCGCAGAAACGGATAAAATTATCGTCTGGATAAAAACGACTGTTCGTTCATTTCTCGTGAAATAAAAATATTAAACGCACACAAATTAAAAATTAATTCCTCGTGAAAATATATTTATTTTTCTTGCCAAAATTATAGAGACACCTAAATATAAATGAGTATATCTGCGTGAAAGTCAAAACTTACCAGGTCAGCTTTACCAACGAGTCCGCCAACAAAATCCTGGACGAAACTCTAGTAGAACGATACCTAGACTGACAACGGCTTTTCACTTCTTAATATTGTACGTGAAAAATTATGATTTCTTGAATTTTTTCTAACATCTGTTACACCAAAGGTCATACATTCGCTATGTATCTATAAAGGCCACTATTGTTTTATTTCGATTAAAATCATCCTCGTCCGAGACGTTATTTTACTTGAACTGTTGATGATAGACACGGCAAGATTCGATCCGTATAGACGGTAATGTAAATAAGTTTGTCGAGTATCGCGTGAAGATGAACGCCGCGGAGATAAAGAAGAAAGTCTTACCGGGAAGGAAAGGGATTCAAAGAGAATATCGGGGTTGCGACCAATTAGGAAAGGGATGCGAGCGGGGGAGGCGGTACTCGTCGTGTTGCCGGGAAACGGCGATTGTAAGCTGTAAGAATCCTAGCGCCGAGGGAGTCTTAGGGCAGAGAAGAAAGAGAATAGGAGATCTTACGCACCCTTATTGATTCGACGGGTCTCATTGCGGCCCCTCTTCTAAACGGTTCATTAATTAGTAAATGCCCGGCGAACATGGCCGCTTGATTCATTGTTTTCTTAAATTAAACGCTATCTCGTCGCTGTGACCCGTACGCCGCGAGATCTATCAGAGTTGCAGAAATTTCATTCACCGCGGGATCGAGACGAAAAAATACACGCATTCCCCTCGTAAGCCGAAACGCGCGCGCGTGGTTTTAATAATCTCCTAAGTGGATCTAGGGTTAATTTAATTACGCGGTTCTCCTCCCTGTGACGTCAGTCACGCGGATGAGCAATCATCGGAAGGTGCAACCCTAATAGGCGGGGCAGCTCTTTTTCGAAAAAATGCTCCACCGTCGAACCCGCGCGTCCAAGTTATTCTCGACGCAAGAATTGATCTTTCAAGTAAAACCGTTCTCCCTTCGGAGCAAGCATATTTGCGTATTTTCGCTCTTCACGGTCCATTTAATTTCGCGCGATCTCGAGACGGTTCTCGAAAGATATAGCTCTCAACAAGCTTAATAAGATCTCGTAGGTACTCGGTTGAGCGTGGAGAAACGAATGATAGAAACGAGATCGGATCGTTGGACCGTTGTTGTCTAGGCGTACAGCGAGCGGTTGTTATCCGATACCGTTTAAAATAAAAACCATAAGGATTCGACCGACGTCGAATCGAGTCCAACGATCTCATTTAACTTGTTGATCCGTGGAAGAGATAAGCTCGAAAGTGTCGAGCGAGCGGAAAACTCGCGAAAAGGCGCGTTCCGCGTCGCGTCGACGTACGCGTTTCGCGGAGTCGTTGGCCTCAAGTCGAAGAGAGGCGGTACACGGCGGTGACGTGGGTGGGAAGTCGAGCCTTATGAATGAACCGGCGCGTACGAGAGTGTGAGTGAATGGAGGAGGACCGAGCGAACCTCACGTGTGAGCGACGTGTGTGGGAGGGCGGACGGGGAGGGAGGAGGAGATGAGAAACACAACGTACGGTCGAGGGACCGGGAGGAACGGAGAGCGAAGACACGCGGCGGGAGGAAAAGATCGTCGAATAGCAACGCGCAATTCGCACACCGTGCACGTGCATTCGTTCTTTTCACGCGTTGACCATGCATCCCCTAACACGGGTTAGGTCTGGGTTACGTAACGCGGATTCTAGCAAAACACGACGTTGGCTTTTCGCGGTGGGAACACATTGCTTTTACCGTGAATCGGATCAAATTGATCGTTAGCCTTCTGGAAAGTCCTCGAAGCTTTCTAATAGGGCAAGAATCAATTTGAATACATCGAACGTTTCGTTTTTGTTTGTTTTTTAGGACTCTTGACCAGCCAACATCTCGACATGAAGCAAGATTCTGAAAAGCAGTCGCTCTCTCCTCCGTTGAACAATAACACGTCGCCAGTGATGTTCCCTGGAATGGGTAGCACCGCCGCGGGTCTGTCGATGCTCACCCCGCAGCAGCTTTTGGCGGCCAGTCGAACCGCGGCCTTGATGGCCGCAGGAATCCCCGTGTCGTTGCATGCCACTTTGGCGGCTAGCCCGTCCTTGTACAGACATCATCAGACACTGTTCGGAGGCTGGGCGCCACCAGCCGCGTCCTCGCCACCCTCGCCGGTTCACCACTCGCCCGGACCAGTGTCGCCGGCGTTGAGCACCAAGTCCACCTCCAGACGAACCAACACCACCGCTACCAACAACAATAACAATAACAACGTGGTCAGCAGCAGCGGAGATCGAATCTCGAAGAAGAACCAGCAAGCGACCAAGAGGAAAGCCACAAAGTCGAAGGCGGAGAGCGTGCAAACAGCGGTGGAGGGTTCGGCTCCTCTCAGTCCACCCACTTCGGTCAGCCCCGAGGCGGGCAAAGACGGAAGAGACAAGGTGTTCACCTGCGGTGTCTGCTCGAGATCGTTCGGTTACAAGCACGTGTTGCAGAATCATGAACGCACTCACACCGGCGAGAAACCGTTCGAGTGTCCGGAATGTCATAAAAGGTGAGCTCTCGGCATACCATCCCCAACGTTTCCAGAATAGTCGCGAGTTTGATCGATCATCTTTCTCGCGGATTCTTAATAATACATTTCCAGGATTATAGCCAGCAACGTTCGTTCGCTTGTTACAGATTCACGCGGGACCACCATCTTAAAACCCACATGCGATTACACACGGGCGAGAAACCGTACCATTGCAGCCACTGCGACCGGCACTTTGTCCAGGTAGCGAATCTACGTCGGCATTTACGCGTGCACACCGGTGAACGTCCGTACGCCTGCGAGCTGTGCTCGGCCAAGTTCAGCGATTCGAATCAGCTGAAAGCTCATCTGCTGATACACAAGGGCGAGAAACCGTTCGAGTGCGAGCACTGTCAGATGCGATTCAGACGGAGGCACCACCTGATGCATCACAAGTGCGGCACCGGGGCGAACGCCGCGGGCCAAATACCCAGGTCGCAAGTCCCCTCGCCGTCGTTGGCGAGCGACGACCTGGACGAGGACATCGACATCGACATCGACGTGGAGATGGAGGAGCCCGAGAGCACCGCGTTGCCAGCCAGAAAAACGATGACGCCGGTCAGACCGGCGCATCGTCAGCTCCCAAGCCCCGTGGTGGGCACCTCGATGCCGATGCCGTTGAATCTGTCCGGTATTCCGGTAGATCTGCCGGAACAGACGGAACCGGAGGACCTCTCGATGTCCACCGGCATGCACAGGCCGCATTCGCACTCGCACAGCAGCGGCGACTCGCCGATGAGCCGTAGCCCCAGCAGCGACACCATCCACGAGGAGGACGAGGAGGAGCTGCTGGACGTCTCGGAAGCCAGTCCGAGCAGCCTTTTCCTTCAAAATCATCGCAACCAATACGTTCATCACCTCGCGTCCCTTGGAAACCCGACCGCGACCAATGTCGGCCACGCGTCCTAGTGGAGTCTCGAGGGGTACGTAGAAGATACAGCTACGTAAAGAGAAAACAATACAAAACAAAGCAAACCCTGTACTTTCACACACTCGGTTCGACGCGTCTACCCAAGGAACAGCGGATATCGCTCCAACGTTGGAACGAACCAGGGGGAACAAAAATGGGCATATCGTTGGAAATAATTCACGTTTGTTTGGGTAGTAGGCTCTCGAACCTTTGCAGCTCACACTGAATCCTCACTAAAAATCCTCCAAGCACCGGTTCACAGTCACTATTGTTAAGATGCTTTTTATAGATATATATATATATATATATATATATACATACATACATACATATATATTATATTATATAGATGATTATTATTATTATTGTACCTATGAAAGAGATACGAATCGACGAAAGTGAATGGCGGGTCTATGAGCATTCTGTAAAACGTGTAATTTAAACGAGAACAAACTAAATTCAGGGACGCATTTTTTTTTTTTCTCAAAAATTAATATTATAGATAACTTTTCGAGACAGGAGTGGTAAAGAGAGGTAAGGAGAGAGAGAGAGAGAGAGAGAGAGACCACCCCCGCCGAGTTTCTTTTCGCGGGGCTAGGTTTTTCTTTGTACATAGTATCGCGAGAAACAGGAAGAACGGACAGGATAAAGATGTGTATTTAGTTAGTCGGTGTAGTTCCGCGTGTTTTTCATTTCCGAGAGTCGTAACGATGAATAGATAGGTAGATATTAATTAGATAGGTATCGAAGGAAAAGAAGACCGAGCGTGCATGCATGTGTGTGTGTTTGTCGCCGTGTGTGCATGCGTACGAGCGTGAATGAGGCGAGCGGGAATCGAAATAAAAGGAGAAGTTACGAAATGAATGTACTGGTATACAAGTTCCTCTGACAGTAAACGTAGCGGGGGGGGGGAGTGACATCGGTTCGTCGGTCCTCTGTCGCTCTCGCACTTGGCCGATTTAACGAGCTGTCGACCATTTTTCTTTTTCAATTTTTCTCTTTTATTTTGTTTGCGATCCATTCGCCGCGATCGATTCATTTCTTCTTTTCTCTCGTTCGTATTTATTAACACCCCATCCGGCGGTTGCGTGTCGCGTTGTTGTTGTTTATTCTACACTCATTTGTAAAGCCGTCGGGCGACCAAGTTTTGTTAAATACATGTACCAATTTACTCCAAGACGCACGTTTCTTAATACCGACTGACAACACTCTAGCTTTCGTTGCAGATCGCTGACCGTGCTCGAGACGACGCTTCAATACCTGTGCTCATCCTTTGCGTTCCCTCGATCCCGTTTCGATTTAAATCCTGCATTTTTTTTTTTATGCCTGGGACCTAAACCAACATTCATATTTTTCCCATTCATCGGCTCGTCGGACAAACGATAACAGAAAATGTTCGCGGCAATGTCCAGCCACGATCGATCGAAAGTGGAGGTCCGTTTGCATTTGCCCTTTGCAAAAACCAGTACTGTAAACCGATATACGTCCACGCTGTGCGTGAATATAAAATGGTCGATTCGCATCAATCCGCACAATAACTGGGATTCGAAGGAGAAGAAGGACTCTGTCCTCTTCTGGATTCTCATTCTCATGCATAATCGGGCCACCATCTTCGGGTTCTCCGATTTCCGTCTTTTTTCTGGCGAGCAGCCGGTTCGTGCGATCCCTCTAGGATCCTTTTGTCCTAGCCGGGTCGGACGGCGGGCGTCTGTTTCGCGCGAACCAGTTTTCGCAATGATATAGACCCGCGTGGCGAAAATTCGCAGCCGGTGGCCAGGACACACGGGGTCCTCTGGTCTTTTGGGCTTGTTGCGCGGTCTCTTCTTCTCTCGGCCGTCTCGCCTCCGCGTCTCTCAATGGCCCTCTGATTTATGTCTGGTCCTGGCCATGCAAATTTCATCGGCGAGTCGAGGCCGTTCCGAGTCATTGTTCCATGGGTCAGTCCGGGACACTTATCCCAAAGCCAGAAAGAACGGACCGACGTCATTCACCTCCCTCTTCCGGGTCTGGCCCCCATTCGCTGTTCCGCGCCCCGAAATATAACCCGACGCACCTCCGGGTTTTTCGAAGCACAAAAGGGAGAAGTCCTCTCTGCATTTTCTGCGAATATCGTTCCGAACGGCCAGGGGCCCGAAATTGCCCTCGTTTCGCCTCTGTTCCTTTCCCGCGACAGTTACTTTTGCAAGAAAAGATGAGGAGAAAAACCAAGGTCCGTGTGTCGCGGACGAACAATCTCTTCGATACCCAAACAAAAGTCAATTCGTCGAATTTGTCTAAAGGTGCAGCAGCATAGTTTTTACGCTTCGTACGCTATTCTTACGAAGAATACCATTAAAAAATTCAAGATACACCGTTCTAAATTGTATAGAAATTTTGATAGTACCGTGAGAAGGTAATATACATATCAGAGTCAGCAAACAGTAGTTTCACATTTTCTGAAAAGGAAAATTTACTGTCCGGGGAACCTCCGCAATTTTCGTCCCCGCTGTTACACTTTCGCCACATTCTTTCCGAAGGTTCTGGGTTCATCCGCAGTTTTCACTCGTTATTCACGTTCAAGCTTTCGAGAACCATTTTCCACCCCACTTCCTTTCCCTAGCCGCGTTCTCGCCCTGTTACACGTGTTAGAAGATATCCGGAGCTCGTTTCACCGAAACGTTGCGATCTCTCGTCACGCTTGTCCTCCCTACGAACCTTCGTTCTCTTTTGTTTTTTTCTTTCTTTTCTTTTCTTTTCTTTCCCTCCGGGTGCTATACATCCCGCGAGGAAAGTATACGCGACGTCTCGAGGAGGCGATCCTTCTTTGTTCTCGGGAAATTCTGTTTTTCGTTCCGTTCGTCTTTCGATGGACGCTAATTGATTTCGACGTTTGACCACCGTCGAAGCACGGCGAACAGGGGTCAGCGGGCCTTGACCTCGTACCCCGGCAAAAAGGAAAACCCACCACCACGAATCCCCCAAGTATTATTGTACATAGAGATCCCCCACCCTCGATATAAAATGATATAGAGAGACGATCTTATAAAGTGTCGCGCAGCTTTTTCACGGCGCACGAGCGAGCGTACCGTCGACGCGTCGAGACGACAAACACTTGACGAATTTACTTGTACTCGTATAAATAGCCTATCGACGAAGGACCAATTACTTGAAAGGCAACACGAGCTTTCTGCCGCGATTTTCCGTCGCGGTTCACCGAACATTGTTGCAGTCTAGTTCTATACGTAACGATTGTCGCACGCGGCGAACGTACGACTACAACGCCGGTTCGAAAGGACGTTTGTTACAGTCGAAGTGATAATTAAACTGCGAATGCACGTGTAGCCCAACTTTCCTATAACGTTGAAAAGAACATTTTTACAGACGTTCGTTCGATTTGTTTGACATCGTTTCCGACGTAGCATTTGTTTAGCATTTACTGAAAATAGTGCTCCTAATTAAGAAAGGTCTAATGTGTTGTATCTTACCGCGAAGATTTTCTTTCGATAAGTCAAAAATGCTTGAAAATAGTTCTGGATCTCATACACCTCGGACGATCATACATACGTTTGCACGAGCATCCGCAGTTCAACGACGATTAAACGCGTCTCGTTAATCGATAATATATATAATTGATTATTTATTATCTACGCCCGAATAACGTGTTCCTGTCTATCGTTTCGCTGTTTTTTTTTTTTGTACTTTCCGTCGAGTCCGTCTGCTCCATTGTAGGTATCCGCGAGAATCATCTGTTGATATCCGCGAAGGCAACGGTAGCACGGTACGCTCGTCGGTTCTGTTTGCTCGATGTCGATCTGTTGCTTAGATAATCGGATTTAATCGAAGAATTTAGTAGCGTAACGAGAAACGAAGTATGCTATCCGAGTTTTTCTATACACTCCTCGTCGTGGAGCGGAAGCTCGCCCTCGGGCCAAGCGGATCGAAGCGAAGGAATCTGAAATGAAATTGAAATGAGACGACGAACGTTCAGACGACGCGACGGTGGAGCTTCGCTCGACGACGATTTCTGACAAATGGTACCTTAAAACGAGATCGATTCCTAGTTAATGGTTGTTAGTTCCGAACGATACTGGTGAATTACGTTCCTGTCGGCCCGGCTCGGCGGTACGGGCCAATTGTTTTCTACGTTTCTTTGTAAACAGACCAGAATCACCGATAATAACCGCGATAGAAAAGAGAGGAAGCAGCAATGGCGAAGTTTCGCGTCAAGTACCTATTGTATCGATAGAATTATCGCTTGATCCTACAATACTGTCGTAATAATCATTATCGTTGTTGTCATTTTAATCTTAATGTGCAAGAACATATGTATACATATAACTAACTTATATGTTTGTGTCAAATTAGAACGTTGCGTCGATACGATATACGCGTGTACCGAAGATCCGGGATCAACGGGTGCACGGTTCGCGATCGTCGCGATCGTGTTCGAACGGAAACGGGATTATTGTCGTGACGGGGGTAGTCGAGATGCCCGTATCCCGACGCTCGGCGCTCGGCGCCCGTCGCCCGTCGCCCGTCGCCCGTCGCCCGTCGCCCGTCGCTCGTCGCCCGTCCCCGATCGCTCGAATACTCGATTCGATCGCGTATGTACCTATGTGGTGTACACTGTCTCTGTATCTATGTAACTAGAACTACGTATAGTTATAATTTTGTACAGTCAACGCAGACGCTAATCGTATGCACGGCCGTCGATCAGTTCGCGCGTACTCGAGCACGCGCATCGATCGTATTTGTCTCGTTTCCGCTTTCGCCGTGATCGCGCGTGCTCGAGCGCGCTCGCGAGCCGCGACGACACACGGTACAAATTCAAATTTTATGCCTGTAACTACGGAAAATGGAAAAGATGATTAACACTGTTCCGCGAAAACGATGGACGAATATTCTCGCTACTCGCTAATTAATGGTATTAGAAAGAGCCACTTGAGGAACAGGCACACTCTCGACGCGTACCGTTCGAAACATCGATTATTGTTCCTGATTATTGATCGCTGACACACTGACAACACGTACGCGAAATTGTATCGGCTCGGTCAATAAATTCATGCCTATTTCTCTTTTCTTTAATCGATGATACACGCTCTTCGTTTTTTGTATCTACTTCGAAGAGAATATAGTAGAAAATTGGACACGTTGATGAAAACACTGTGCCTGAAAAGGTAAAACGTTTGACGAGTCAGAGCCAACGTGGCAATTTACACTAGATAAAA